ATGATGTTGGGCATACACACACATGTGCTTGGTGTGTTTATCCGTTCTCTGTCCTTCCCTCCTTTAGGAGTTTGGGCACACACACACACATGCCTGGTGTGTTTCAAGCCAGTAGGTCTGGGACTTGAACCACACAATTGGCCATGTGGGATCTGGAGCTGGCCCAGAGCTGATGTTTTTTCATTTGTTTAGCCAGCCTTTCAGTTTGCCTCTAAGTAGTCTTTATTGATTGCTCCTTTGAGTAAAAAATATGTTGAATTTTCCCCTTTACATTTGGTGCCATTATCACCTCATGCACTTAGGTCTAATCTACTGTATTTGGTTTGGTGAAGAATGTTCTTAGCTGCCTTTCACACCTCTGTACTTACTCCCATCCTATAGTTCATAGTTCACCTCATCTTTCTGAAAATGCTTTTTTATTTTTCTGTTCAAGAAACTAACTTAGCTCTTTTTTTTTTTTTTTTTTTCTTTTAAGAGGTTTTCACCTTAGGGTGTGTATGCTTGCTGGAAAGAGAGAGACAGTGAGAGGGAAAGTAAGAAATCACCCACCAGGAGGGATGGCCATGCCACAATCCCTTCTTTTCCATTCTCCTCCCAGGATTTTGGGCATGTATGCACACACACCCAGCATGATGTTCAAGCCACCAGGCCTGGAACTTGAACTGTGGTCTGCCATGTGGGAGTTCAATGACATAATTGCTACGCCTGTAACTTAGTTCTTTGTCTTCCAACTTAGGTCTGAACTGATCTGCTTGTCTTTTGGGGGTTTTTGTAATGGAGTGTACCCCAACCAAGTGCTTGCTTTGTACCTGCTTCTCTTAATGTTTACCTCACTCAGGACCAGATTGTCATTCACTGCTCCTTATCCCGTCACACCCATTGTCTATCTTTGCGTTTTGACAAATGCTGTCCCTTCTCCCTGTATGATCTCTGTCGCTGTGCATCTCCTTGCTTACGTTGGCCTATCTTCAATTCTTCTTCAAATGGTCTCTGCCGCTCAGTTTCTCACTTAATCATGTGTACTCTATTTTCTAATTATTTTCAACTTCCATTCATGCCTCTCCACATAGACTATTGTCTTCTTTAATGCTGGGATTTTTTTTTTTTTGGTGGGGGGGAGGAGAGGCTTTTGCTATAGGGCATGTGCACTCACCAGAATGACAGAGAGACAAAAAGAGATAGAAAGTGAGAAGTCACCCTCCACGGGGTGGTTGAGGTGATGGACTCCCACATGGCCAACTGTGGCTTGAGTCCTGGACCTGGTGGCTTGTTTTATCACTTTCCCTTTCTAGCTTTTTGATTTGATTTTCTTATATCATCTCAAGAAATAAATCATTTCTCAGTGTCTTAGCAAAGCAGAACTTGGTGGTACCTTTCAGTTTGGTGTCACCTCTGAGAAGTTTTGGTTTTGACCACATGTTGCAGATTGTTTTCTCCTCCCTAAACTTAGCATGGTGATCATAGCACTACTACTATTTCAGAGGGGTCTGTGAGCACCTGCTTGTCATAGAGCCTGGGGAAAGAGCCCTCACTGTGGCATTCATGGACCGTAGGTCTTAGGTCAGTTTGCAGCACAGTTACTTACCTACCTGTGAATCTGAGCACATACTGACCTTCTTTATCTCAGGGTCAGGTTATCTTCCTCAAGGAGCAAAGTTGTAAGGTTGTACAGAATATGGAATATAGGATACTGTTAATAGTAGTTCAAGAAACTTTTGGGATGCTTCCTAGACATGATAGTAGAACTGAATTTTTTTTCTAAATAATTATTTCCTTTATTTTATTTATCATTATTGTAATTTTCAATTTGACCAGAGTAAGACACAGAGAGAGAAAGCAAGAAAACAAGCCACCAAGTCTGGGACTTGAACTGTGGTCAGCCATGTGGGAGTCCAGCGCCCCTAACCACCATGTAATCTACTGGTCCCCTAGAACTGAAGTTGAAGAAAAAGTAGACTTGATTCGGACTAAGGTCAGGGTGGGAGAGAGGTACTGGTAGGGGAGCATCATGAGCAAAGTACAGAAGCACAAACAGAAGAGATTCGTGTTACTGTGGGACACTTTTCTAGAGTGTTTTAATATCTATACATATTACTATACACATGTATATAACATATATATACATATATATTTTATAAAACATACATATTAATATATATATATGCAAAGATAAAATGAGGTCTGTCTAATCCTTTTGAAAAAGATAGCAACAAAACAGTTATGGAAATATTTCCCATTTAAAAAACAGTTTAGAGTGGGACCAACAGTTAGTGTTAATGGCAATGTCACTGGACTCCCATGTAGTTGACCGCAGTTCATGTCCTGGACCCGGTGGCTTAAAACTCACGCCGGGTGCGTGTGCATGCGTGCCCAAGATCCTGAGAGGAGAATAGAGGAGAAGGGATTGCGGCGTGGCCATCCCCTCTGGGGGGTGATTTCTCATTTTCTGTCTCTATGCCTCTCTCTGTCTGTCTGGCAAGCGCATGCACCCTATAGCAAAAACCTTTCCCCCCCCAAAAAAGATAAATAAAACACAAAAAAACAGTTTAGAGAATCTGATTGTATGTTTAATTTTCAACAATTATGGAAAACCTTTAAATATGTAGAAAGGCTGGAAAAAGTATTGATTTATTAGACCTGCCAGTGAAGATTAATGGTGCAACAAAAGTATTCTTTTTTTAAAAAAGAGACATCTAGGGACCAGCAGTTAGTGTAATGGCTATGTTGCTGAACTCCCATGTAGTCGACCGTGGTTTGAGTCCCAGACCTGGTGGCTTAAACTCACACCGGGCGCGTGTGCATGCATGCCCAAGATTCCAAGAAGAGAATGGAGAAGAAGGGATTGCAGCATGGCCATCCCCCCTGGGGGGTGATTTCTCGCTTTCTATCTCTCTGTCTCTCTCTATCTTTCTGGAGAGCACATGCACCCTATAGCAAAAACCTCTTTAAAAAAAAAAAAAAAGAGGGACATCTAATTTTTATTTTAGAATTGTTTTATTTAACTTTATTTATTTATTTATTTTTAAATTTGACCAGAAAGGGACAGAGTGAGAGAGAGAGAAAGAGAGAAAGCGAGCCACCAGGTCTGGGACTTGAACTACAGTCTGCCATGTGGGGGTCCAGCACCCTTAACCTCACAATGCCACCTGCTGAAGTATTCTTTTTTTGGCCTCTTCTTTTGTGTCTCTAAATGAAACTATATCATAATAGTCTTTTCTTGGTTCTTTTTTTTCATTATCACTTTCTCTACTTAGGCAATGTCTTCAGCAGTATAGCTTGACCTAAGACAACATACCTATAAATTATGTACACAGATTTATTTCTCCAGTTGTGACTTTTCTGTTAAGTGTATATGTATATTATAACTATACTTAGGTGTCCCACTAGTACTTAAGACTTAATTTATTTAAAAATAAATTTAAAAATAATTTTATTTATATAAAAATATTTGGGGACCAGCAGATGGCGTAAGGTTATGTTGCTGGACTCCCATGTAGTTGATAGCGGTTTGAGGCCTGGACCTGGTGGCTTAAAACTCATGCCGGGTGCATGTGCGTTCATGCCCGAAATCGTGAGAGGAGAATGGCCATGCCACAATCCCTGGATGGTGATTTCTCACTTTCTGTTTCTCTGTCTCTCTGTTTCTCTGGTGAGCATACACACCGTGTAGTTAAAAAAAAAAAAAAACCTCTCTTAAATAATAGCGGAGGGAAGGGCTGGCAGGTGGCATGGCAGTTAAAGGCACTGGATCCTCACATGTCCAGCCAGGGTTTGAGACCTGGACCTGGTGGCTTGCTTTCTTGCTTTTTCTTTCTCTTTTTGTCTCTCTCTGGTCAAATTAAAAAAATAATAATAATAATAAGAGGAAATGGAATAACATAAATAATTAATTCTTTACCAAAAAAAATGGGGGCCAGTAGGTGGCCACTATCTTCTGTTATGCCCTAGAGGAGAATCTTTTAGATAAATTTTTTACTGGATTACTTGGATTCTCTGATTATATTTACCCATTTTTGCCTCTCTGCCTCTGCCTTATTGTTTTCTGCCTAAAAGAACCTTTCCTTTTTCAATCTTTCCTTCTTCCAATCTTTCTTCCTTTTTAACATTTAGCTTAAATAGTGTCTTCTTTATGAAGTACTATCTTTTTCCTGTCAAGTAATCTTCTGAATCTGAGGCTGGTTCCCTTAACCACTAGGCTACCAGGCCAGCCCTTTAAAATACAAATTTAATTGCTGTTATAAAGCACACAAAGCAGTAGAAAACAGAATCATAACCTCCTTTCCAACTCTGTGAATGCCTCCACTAGTTTCAGCCATTGTTTACAAAAAGCCAGCGTGTTTCATCTATAGCTCACCCCAAGGTCCCCCACACCATTTGTTTTCTAAATTAGATTTAGTGGTAAATTAATCTTCGTGACATATAAAAATAACTTATATTTAAGGTATACAGCTTGATGCTTTGATATACACTGTGAAATGATTACATTTCAGCTAAAATTAACTTACCTATCGCCTCTCCGTTTGTAGTTACCATTTTTGTACCCTGTGACTAACATGAGCACATTTCCCCCGACACACCATTCTACTCTCCACTTCTGAGTTTGACTGTTTCAGAGTCCATGTGCAGTGAGATCATGCAGTATTTCTCTTTCTGTGTCTTGCTAATTTCACTTAGCATAATGTCCTCCAGATTCATCCACGTTGTCCGAAATGGCGAAGTTCCTTTTTTCTCTTTATTCATGATTCAGCGTGAGCACACACATACAAGAGTAAGAGAGAGGAAGATGAGCACCCTCCACAGGGTCTGGTCATGTTGCAGTCCCCTTCCTCCAATCCTTTGGCCTGTCTGATTTGGGGTACTCACGACTGTGGTGTTTCAGGCTGACAAGGATTCAAATAGCAGTTTCCATGTGGAAGTCGGCCCACCCTTTTGTTCAAGGGCAGATAATATTCATTGTGTATATACGCCACATTTTCCCTATCCACTCATCTGCCAAGGGCATTTAAATTGTTTCCTTATCTTGGCTATTGTGAATAATGTTGTAATGAGCATGGAAGTGAAGATAATCTCTTTGTAATTCTGTTTTCAGTACCTTGGCATATATACGAGAGAGAGAGAGAGAGAGAGAGAGAGGGAGAGAGAGAGGAAAAGTGAGAAATTACCCTCTAGGGGGATGACTATGCTGCAGTCCCTTCTTCTCCATTCTCCTCTTGATATTCTTGATTTTCAACCTGCTGTGTCTGGGGCTTGAACCATGGAGTCGGCCATGTGGGAATCCAGCACCTTAAGTATTACCCTACCTGCTGGCCCAAGACTTTTCTTTGACTAACCCTGGGTCCTTAGGCAAGTTACTGCTCTGGGATTTGATTGCTTGATGAAGTTAACAAAGCTTTTCCCTGTTTAAGGAGAGTCTCAGCACTTCTATCAGATTCTTATTTTTTGAGGCAGTGTGGGACAGTTGAGCAGGTAAGAGTTCAGATCCAAGCTCTACCAGTTGTCAGCTGTGCGACCCCTAAAAAGTTAACTTTTAGAACGTTGATTTCTCTCTGTTAAAATGGAGATTAAGAGATTTAATTAATGCAGATGTTAAGTGAAAGCACCTTTTAGTTGGCATCCGTTAGACTTCATACATGGGAATATCTAGGTTTATGATAATGTTTTTCAAAGTAAATTTTTTTTTGTTTTAGTTTTTGCTATCAAGTGTGTATACTAGAGACAGAAAGCGAGAGAAAGTAAGAAAGCACCCCCAGGGGAGCTGACCATGCCACAGTTCCTTCTCCTCCATTCTCCCCCTCTCTGGATTTTAGGTACATATACACATGTGCCTGGCATGCTTTTCAAGCCAATAGGTCAGAGACTCAAACCATGCAGTCAGCCATGTGGGATACAGCCGCCTCAGCCTCCATGCCTTCTGCAGGCTCTAAATTTTTTCTTTTAATTAAAAAATTATTTATTTAATTTTATTTATTATGATCATGATTACTTTTAAATTTGCTATAAGACATATGTACTCACCAGAGAGAGAAGGAGAGAGAAAGTGAGAAGGCAAGCCACCGTGTCTGGAACTCAAACCGGGGTTGGTCATATGGGAGTCCAGCGCTTTAACCACCATGCCACCAAATGTGTTTTTTTAATTGAGATTTTTCTTTCTTTCTTTTTTTTTTTTTTTGAGAGGATTTTTGCTATAGGGCACGTGCGCTTGCCAGACAGAGAGAGACAGAGAGACAGAGAGTGAGACATCACCCCCCAGGAGGGATGGCCACGCCGCAATCCCTTCTCCTCCATTCTCCTCTCGGGACCTTGGGCACACACACACATGCACCCGGTGTGAGTTTAAGCCACCAGGTCTGGGACTCAAACCGCGGTCGACTATGTGGGAGTCCAGCGACATAGCCATTACGTTAACTGCTGGTCCCGGGATTTTTATTTCTTGATTCAGCATATCTCTGGGACCTAGAAATTTTACTTTGTTGGAAACTGATGTATATTGTAGTAATTAAATAAATTTTATTCTTTAGTTTTCAGAATGTCATTTTATAATTAAAGAAGGAGCTCTCACTTTAGAGATTGAGTGAATCCTGTTTGTTTACTGTAAAAATAATACATTTCCTTCATATTCTCCTTTTAGTACCTTGTATTGAATCTTTTGCATAGAAAGTGATCTGTATGATATATTTTTCTTATTTTTACAGATAGCACATATCCTAAATATGACTTCTGCAAAGATAATTTCTTTCCTGTTACCACCTGATGAAAGTCTTCATTCACTGCAGTCTCGTATTGAACGTGAAACTGGAATAAATACTGGTTCTCAAGAGCTTCTTTCAGAGACAGGAATTTCTCTGGATCCTCGGAAACCAGCCTCTCAGTGTGTTCTAGATGGCGTTGTAAGAGAATTCTAATATATCTAGAATATAAGAAGACATCTGTTTGTAGAGGGGTTGCATGCCCTGAATTTTTTGACACATACTTAGAATCCTTTGGGGGGGGACGTGGCACACATTTTAGAATAATTCTTTTTAGTTTTGCTCTGCTTGTAACTGTTACTGTCTTTGCAAGTTAAACAATATAGAAATGAAATGTCTGTTGTTTTCAACTTTGTAAGGCTCTTGATTTGGTGCCAGTTTTCTCTTCCCACTTTTTTTCCTTCTTCTGTTGAAGCCTAGAACCTTGAAGTTAGCCCAGCAGTCTCACAGGGCCTGCCGGAGGATAGATAGGTAGTAAAACGATTGTAGTCATACTTTTATTTTCCATTTTTCCTTTTGTTACTTTGTTGAGCCATATTTTACATATCATATAATTCACCCATAATCTCCCATTTCAAGTGTACAAGTCAGTGTTTTTTTAAAATAAATTTACCAAATTTTGCAGCCATCACCATAAATCAATTTTAAAACATTTCTGTTTTGTTAATATAGTTTATGTCCATTCACTGTTACTCTCCATTCTACCCACCCCTGAGAACCACTCATCTTTTTATATCTACATCTACCTTTTCTAGACATTTCATATAAATGGAATCATACACTGTACAGTCTCCTGTGTCTGACTTCTTTCACTTAGCCTTATGTTTTTGAGGTCCATCCATGTTGCAGCGTGTATCAGTACTTCATTCCTCTTGGTTACTGAATAGTTGAATTGTGTTTCCATTGTGTGGATGTATACTTTCTTGCATTTGTTTTGGGTCTGGTAGTTGTTTTCATTTTAGCCCATGCTGAAGCTTTTCTTCTCTCTGTGAATGTTTAGACCGAAATCTCTAAGGTGTGTGTTAATGCACACCACTTTGTTCATTTGCGCTGCAAAATAGGGAATCTGGTTCTTAAGTATTTAGAGAGCCTTGGGTTTTCAAAGATCTTCAAGCAGAATTTTAATTGTTTGTTTCTTTTTTCAGAGAGGCTGTGATAGCTATATGGTTTATTTGTTTGATAAAAGTAAGACTGTATATGAAGGGCCGTTTGCTTCCCGAAGCCTGTCTGACTGTGTAAATTATATTGGTGAGTACAGTTATCTAGTGGCTGAGCTTTCAGCCTAAAATGGTGTGATTTTGCCTCAACGTGTTTAGTAGAAATGGTGTTTGATCTAGATGGGGTTAAAAAATGGATTTATGAAGTTTGGAAGGTAAAAAGTTTATAATTACCACTGGGTAGAGCCCTCAGGAGATGACTTGAGGATAGGGCTCTCACAGGGTAATGAAACTGTATTGATAATTAAACTTACTTTTTAGGTTGTCCATTATCTAAGCTTGTTTAAACGTTTATTTCACCTTATCCTATGAATTCTACTTGATGTTCAAATGCTTGAAATTTATCCTGTAAAATTATTCTTTTGAAGCATTTAAGTGCTCAGTTTATATCTAATCAAGCTGAAATCAAGTACAAAAATTGTAGAACCAAGAGAAAAATTGGACATAGGGGCTAAAATTTGTATCTTTCCTATTATATTTTTAGAGGTTTTCTTTTGAAAAAAAATTTTTTTAAAGAATTATTTTTTGTTTAATTTTATTCATTGTCATTATTTTATTTTTATTTTTTTGAAGTTGACCAGAGAGAGACAGAGAAAGTACAGGAAAGTGAGAAAGCAAGCTGCCAGGTGGTCAGCCATGTGGGAGTCCATCTGCCTTAGCCACCACGCCATCTGCCAGCCCTTGAAAAATATTTTTAAGAATTTATTTATTTATTTATTTAAATTTGGACTAGAGAGAGAGAAAGAGAAGGGAAGTGAGAAAGCAAGCCACCAGGTCCAGGATTCGAACTGTGGTCAGCCATGTGGGAGTCTAGAATCTCAACCACCACGCCACTCACTTGCCCCTTGAAATTTTTTTAAATTAAGATTTATTGGGTTATGGGACCAGTAGTTAGCGTAATGGCTATGTCACTGGACTCCCATGCAGTCGACCACGGTTCAAGTCCTGGACCCAGTGGCTTAAAACTCAGCCAGGCGCGTGTATGTGCGTGCCCGAGATCCCAAGAGGAGAATGGATTGCAGCGTGGCCATCCCCCTGGGGGGGGTGTGATTTCTTGCTTTCTGTCTCTCTATCTCTTCTCTGTCTATTTGGTGAGCGTATGCACCTTATAGCCGAAACCTCTCCAAAAAAAGAAAAGATTTATTGGGTTGTCTGAAAAGTTAGGACTTTTTTTAATGCTTTTCTATGCAAAAATGTGTCATGTGTTTTCCAGTGACCCAGTAGTTAATATATAGTGAAATGTATAGTTTGATTATTTTTAAAAACTCTTACTATTATTTTTTTATTAGGGATGAAAGGGGAAAAGAGAGGTATTCTTTTTTCTTTATCTTTTTTTTTTCTTAATTGTGAGAGTGTGTGTACACTCGACAGAGACAGACAGTGAAGGTGAGGGAGAAAGCAGTCCTCCCAGTGGGGCGTGGTCATGCCACAGTGCTTTCTCCTTAATTTCTCCACCTTGTTGGGATTTGGGGCACACATGCACATGTGCCTGGCATGTTTTTCAAGTCACTGGGCTGGAATTTGAATTGCCATCAGTCGTACACACACACACACACACACACACACACACACGTATCCTTTGTTATTAACATCTTATGTTAGTATGGCACATATGTTACAGTAATCACCCAGCATATTACATTAATGTCTAGATATTTTTCAAATTTCCTTAGTATTTTTTTCTTTTTTGTTTGTTTCTTTCTTTTTAAAATTTTGCTAGAGTGCATGCACTCCCTAGGGAGAGAGAGAAAGTGAGAAAGCACTTCCCAGGGGGTGGCCACAGCACAATTCCTTCCCTCTCCTCTCTGGACCTTGGGTACATGTACACACGCACCTGGCGTGCTTTTTGTCTTCGTGTCTGGGACATGAACTCTGCCGCTGGCTGTGTGGGAGCCGTCCGCCTTCACACCACACCGCTGGCCCGCCCTCCGGTTTTTATCTGATGCCCTTTTCTGCTCTAGACCCCATCTGGGGTGCCATCTTACATCCACTTGCCGTGTCTTCTTCGGCTGCTCTTGGCTGTGACAGTTGCTTACACGTTGCTTGTTTTCGATGACCTTGACAGTTTTGAAGGTTAATGGTTATTGTTTTGTATGATTTTTTTTTTTTTTTTTTTTGAAATTTGTCTTTTTCTTTTCTCACGATTAGGCCAGGTTACAGGTGTTTGAGAGAAAGATCATTTTAAAAAGTGACGTTTTCATCACATGTAAAAGACACATATTGTATCTATTGGTGTTGACTTTGATCAGCTGGCTAAAGTAGGAATTTGTTAGGTTTCTCTGCTGTAAAGTTTAATCTTTTCCCTCCCTTCCCATACTGCATTCTTTGGAAAGAAGTTGCCCTGCACAACCCACACGTAAAAGGCGGGGAGTTGTGCCTCCTTCCTTTAGGGTACACCATCTACATAATTTATTTGAAACTTACAAATTAATTAAATTAATTACTTTATTCTGATACCACAAGATTCTCTGAGTTCATCTTTTTTTTTTTTTTTAAGAGGTTTTTGTGAGATGGAAAGTGAGAAATCAGCCCCCCAGGAGTGATGGCCACTCTACAGTCTCTTTTCTTCCTGGGATCTTGGGCATGCACACACATGTGCCCAGCATGAGTTTTCAACCCTCCACGTCCAGGACTCATACCATGGTCAACTCTGTGGGAGTCCAGTGATGCAACCATTATGCCATCTCAACTTTATTTAAATGACCAGAGAAGGACAGAGTGAAAAAGCAAGAGAGAGAGAGAGATAGAAAGCCACCAGGTCCAGGACTTGAGCCATGGTTAGCCATGTGGGAGTCTAGTGTCCTTAACCACCACGCCACCTGCTGGCTCCCAAGAATTATTTTATTTCACTTACCAGAGAGGGGTAGAGTGAAAGAGAGAGAGAGAGAGAGAAGGTGAGAAAGCAAGCCGCCAGGTCCGAGACTCAAACCATGGTTGGCCATGTGGGAGTCAAGCACCCTTAACCACTAGGTCACCTGCTGGCCTCCTGAGTCTTTACTTTCTAAAATATATTATTTTGGGGAGTGGAAGAGAGAAGAAAAGTGAGAAAGCAAGCTGCCAGGTCTGGGACTCGTACCATGGTCAGCCAGGTGGGAGTCCAGCGCCCTTAACCACCATGCCGCCTGCTGGCCCCTTCCCTAGACTTTAAACATTTTTTGACTTTTTTGGGACCAGCAGTTAGCATAATGGCTATGTCACTGGACTCCCATGTAGTCGACCACGATTCGAGTTCCAGATGCGATGGCTTAAACTCATGCCGGGCGCGTGTGCGTGGTGTGCCCAAGATCCCGAGAAGAGAAAGGAGGAGAAGGGATTGCGGTGTGACCATCCCCCTGGGGGATGATTTCTCACTTTCTGTCTCTCTGTATCTCTCTGTCTTTCTGGCGAGTGTACATGCCCTATAGCAAAAACCTCTCAAAAAAAATTTTTGGGGGGACTTTTTTGGTGCTCTGTTATATAAAGTCACAGGAGGAAGTGTGGGTATATAAGAATAGAAGACAGGTTGAGTCTATTCAAATCTACTCAGATAATTAGTTTTCTCAATGTGAACACTAGTGTAGCAAGTTTTTCTAACCTTCCTCTGAAGATTTTTATTGGAAAATAATAAAAGAAGTGTACAAGGGAACTTAATTTGTGGAGGGGCTGGCAGGTGGCATGGTGGTTAAGGTGGCTGGATTCCCAAATGGTTGACCGGTATTCAAGTCCTGGACCTGGGGGTTTGAAAATCACACAGTGTGTGTGTGCACACATGCTCAAAATCCTGAGATGAGAATGGAGGAGAAGGGATTTTGGCATGGCCATCCCCCTGGGGGTGATTTCTCACTTTCCCTCTGTCTCTCTCTATCGTCTCTGGAAAGTGCACATGCCCTGTGGAAAGAAACTAAAAAGAAATTTTAAAAGTTTGTGGGAAAGTTTAATTAAAATTGAATTGCTTATTTTGGGGCAAAAAAATGTAGAGACTTACGCATAGTTTTATCATAGTACACATTCATCAGTTTTATGAAGATTCTTCCCTGTACTTGCTGACTTGAAGTATAAGATACATCTTTCTCTCTCCTTTTTTTTTTTTTTTTTTTTTTGGTATAAGGACTATGTTCTTGCTAGAAAGAGACAAGAGAGAGAGAAGGAAAGTGAGAAATCACTCCCCATGGGAAGGGCCACACTACAGTCCCTTCTCCAGTCTTTCAGGATTTGGGCATGCACATAAATGTGCCTGGTGTGATTTTTAAGCGATTGGGTCCTGGACTCAAACCATGGAGTGAATCACGTGAGATCTAGCCACTTTAACTTCCTTGCCACCTGCTGGCCCATAAGGTAAATCTCTTTTACTTTTTTTTTTTTTTAAAAAAAGCTTTTTGCTTCAGGGTGCGTGTGCTCACCGAGAGAGGGACAGAGACAGTGAGAGGGAAAGTGAGAAATCACTGCCCCCCGGGGGGATGCCATGCCATAGTCCCCTCTCTTCCATTGTCCTCCTGGGATCTTGGGCATGCACATGTGTGCCCAGCGTGATTTTCAAGCCACCCGTCAGTGATTCAAACCTCATTTGGTCATGTAAGAGTCCAGTGACATAACTGCTATGCCATCTGCTGGCCCCAATAAATCTCTTTTAATGTTGGAGAATTTTGTGATGTTACATGTGATTTCATTGAATTTAGCATATACCTACCATGATTTTCAGAAAGTGTTGGGTAAAGTCTGGCAATGAAGAAAGCCTATCTTATTAAACTACCATTTATTCCGTGTTTTATTCAATTTGGGTTGGTGATCCAAGAGATGAAATTTAATATTCAGAGGCAAGAAGACTTGGTGTATAGTGGAGGAGATGGACCTGATTTACAACTTAAAAGAAATAGAGAATATGGATTAGCAGAAAGAAAAAATGTATTTCAGCTCGGAGAGACGCAAGAATAAAGACTTTTTTAGCTTTTTTTTTTTTTTTTAGAATTATTTAATCTAATTTTATTCATCATCTTTTTTTTTTTTTTTTTTAATGGCGTGAGCTAAAGAGAGAGAGAGAGAGAGAAAGCAAGCCACCAGGTCCAGGACTTAAACTGTGGTTAGCCATATGGGAGTCTAGTGCCTTCACTATCTCGCCACCTGCTGGCCCCCCCAAAAACAGTTTTAAGAATAATCTCAAGCTCACAGTAGTGATTGTCTGAGGCAAGGCATGTATATTGTAGGTACTCAGTAAATGCATATGGAACTGAACTAAAGGGTAACATGGTTCTTCCTAGCATCAGCCTATAGCATCTGTGGAAATGCTATTCACGTGGAGCTTGTTCTCTGGAAATCACAGAGCATGATAAATGAACTCTAAATCTTCAAAAGTAACTCTCCTTCCCTTCTCGTCACCTTCTCGTGTGCAGTACAGGACAGCAAAATACAGCTTCCAATTGTACAGCTGCGTAAAGTATGGGCTGAAGCAGTGCACTATGTGTCTGGGCTCAAAGAAGACTACAGCAGGCTCTTCCAGGGACAAAGAGCAGCAATGTAAGCAGTTCTTATGTTTAAAAGCACAGTGTTACAATACCCTATACTCAAGCATTAATCTTGCCAGTTTCACTAATCAATATTCCGATCAATACTAACATAATGGAGTCAGTTTAAAATGTAGTATTCTGAGTACACTTGCCAAGTTCTTACTAATGGTCTGAAACCACCCAGTTGCAATGACTTGAGAGCAGTCGTTCCTGAACCGTCCTAATGTAAGAAGATTGTATGTTATGGAGTATTGGGAGGCCTCATAGTCGAGTGGTCCCACATGGCTGACTAGGGCTTGAATCCCAGCTCTAGCAACTTGAACAAACACACTGGGCTCGTGTGCGTGTGTGTGCTCAGATCTCGACAGGATGAAAAAGCGGAGAAGAAAGGATTGTGCATGACCATGCCTCACTGGGGGCACTTTCTCCCTCTCCCTCTCTATTTCTGTCTCTTAAGAATATGCACCCTCTAAATTAAAAAAAGGAAAGAAGAATATAGTAAAATATCAATATTTGGAGGCTAGATTCTGATTCTATAGATCAGCTGTCTCTCAAAGACTAATAATAAAAACTTAGGCATCAGATTTATAACAATTTACAGTTTTACATTTTTGTCCAAGGTTTCTGAATGCTGACATCCTTTTTTGTTGTTGTTGTTATGATTTAGGTTAAGTCTTCTTAGATATAATGCTAACTTGACAAAAATGAAGAACACTTTGATCTCTGCATCACAGCAACTGAAAGCTAAATTGGAGTTTTTCCACAAAAGCATTCAGCTTGACTTGGAGAGATACAGCGAGCAGATGACTTACGGGATATGTGAGTATCTGAGTAATGTATAAAGCAGGGCCTAGTCCTCGAAGTCATCTGTTGTTTTGCCTCTTGACTTACAGCCAGTTGTCCTATGTCAGAACAAGATACAGGATAATTTAAATCATCATAAACCATGTTTTTTTTTTTTTTTTTTGTATTAGTTTTGTTTCTTTTTAACCCCTTAGTTGAGTAACTTAGTTTCACAACTGGATTAAAATTTAGCTCCGGAAAAATACAGAAGTGATTTAAGAATCTGAATTTTAGGTCTGCCCAGTGGCCTGGTGGATAAGGAAGCCAGATCCTACATGCCTGACTGCATGGTTTGAAAAACATTCTGGCACAAGTGCATGCCTGCCCCAGATCCTGACAGAGTGGCAGAATAGAGAAGAGGGAATTGTGGCATGGTTGCACCCAACTGGAGAGTGCCTTCTCCCTGTCAAGTACATGTGCCATACGGCCAAGAAAGAAAGAAAGGAATCTCCAATTTTCTGTTTGTTTATTTTTCTTTTAGAGGTTTTTGCTTTAAGGGGCATGTACTTGCTGTAGAGACCAAGACAGTGAGAGGGAAAGTGAGAAATAACCCCCCAGGGGATGGCCACCCTTCAATCCCTCCTCCTCCATTCTCCCCTTGGGATCTTGCACACGCACACATACGCACCCGGCGTAAGTTTCAAGCCACCAGGTCTGGGACCCCAGCCACAATCAGCCATGTGGGAGTCTAGCAATGTAACTGCTACACCATCTGTTGGCCCCTTATTTGTTTATTTATTTTTTTACCAAAGGGTGTATGTGCTTGCCAGAGAGAGAGAAAAAAACAGACAAACAAATAAACACCTTCTGGGACCGGCAGATGGCATAATGGTTATGTTGCTGAACTCCCACGTAGTTGACTACAGTTCAAGTATCAGACCTGGTGACTTAAAACTCACGTCAGGTGCATTCATTTGCGTGCATGCCCCAAATCACCAGAAAATGGAGGAGAAAGGATTGTGGTGTGGCCAGCTCGCCCCTGTTGGGGGGGGATTTCTTGTTTTCTGTTTCTCTGGCATGTGGATGCACCCTGTCAAGTACATGTGCCATACGGCCAAGAAAGAAAGAAAGGAATCTCCAAATTAGCAAAAATCTCTCTTAAAAAAAAAATAAATAAAGGGACCAACAGTTGGTATAAGGGCTATGTGGGTGAACTCCCACGTAGTCAACCGCAGTTCGAGTCCCAGACCCAGTGACTTAAACTCATGCTGGGCGCGTGCGTGTGCGTGCCCAAGATCCTGAGAGGAAAATGGAGGAGGAGGGATTGCGGTGTGGCCATCCCTCTGGGGGGTGATTTCTCACTTTCTGTCTCTCTGTCTCTGTCTTTCTGGCGAGCGCACACACCCTATAGCAAAAACCTCTCCCCACCAAAAGAAAAAAAGAAGTCCAAAACAAAAAAACACCCTTAATGGGGTATAGTCATGCTGCAATCCCTTCTCCAGTTCTTTATCCTGTTGGGATTTTGAGCACCTGTGCTCATGCCCTTGGTATGTTTGTCACGTCACTTGGATTGGGATTGGAGCTGCAGTCAGCTATGTTGGATTTGGCTCCCTTAACCAATAGGCCATGGGGCTGGTCCAAATCAACGAATTTGAAGCCTCATTTTTATTTTTGTTTTATTTGTTTCATATGAAAGAGAGGTAGGGCCAGCTAGTGGTATGGTGGTTAAGGCTGCTAGATCCCAATGGCTAGCTGCACAGTTCAAGTCCTGGACCTGGTGGTTAGAAAAGCACACTAAGTGCGTGTGTGTACATACATGCCCAAAATCCCAAGAGGAGAATGGAAGAGAAGGGATTGCAACTTGACCACCCACCTTCCTGGTGGGAAGGGATGTACTTTTTCACTTTCCCTTTTTCTTTTCTCTTCTCTCTGCCTCTGATGTGCCTCATAGCAAACTCAAAAAAAAAAA